CCGCCCCCGCCTCCCCCCCACTGCTGGGGGCTCTGAGGCTTGGCACATTAAAACCTAACATGAATAGGAAAGATGGTGCAATGCAGAGCTGTCTTGCTGAGATTGACAACAAAGGCTATGGAGATTTTGGCAGCTAAGCTTTTCAACACCTGGGAAGCACTTTGGGACAGTGGGGAAATAAATTAGCTGTGTGATGGCATTTAAATCCTTATCATTAGTTTCAGAACTAATTCTGCATTTAGATGAATGGGTGTAGCACACATTGCTGAGCTGGAACCTGCAAGAGATAGTGAGGATTGCTCCCTGTTCTCATTTAGAAAATTTTTGGCCAGCAAAACTGTAATTTGCTGTCTTGGTGGGTTAGGTCTGGGAGCAGGGGTCTGTGGCTGGGATAGGCACAGCAGCTACACCAGCAGCAGACAAGCCCCGTGCTGCTCAGGGCTCTGATTGCCTGTGCCATTGGGTGTTGACTTATGCCACTTAGAAGAAGGTGGGGTATTACCTGGGTGTTTGCCCTGAATTTGTGGCTCCTCTTCCAGTCATTTTATTTGTCTCTCACAGCTGACACAGCTGCCTTCCCTACTGGGGACTCCTGAATTTTAGGCACTGTGTTTTGCACTGTTCTAAGGACTGGAGTTTCCTTTCTCAGCAGTGGTGCTGAGACCGCCCTGCCAAGCACGCTGCGCACTCTGTTACTGCAGGACAGCTGATATGTTGACCATACCTAGCTTTGGCCTAGGCTTTCTTCTTTGCAGGGTTCTTACTTTGTTCTGTTTAGCACAGAACACACTGAAGCGTGAACAGGAGCTATGAAAGAACTACATGAACTGTGGAAAAGGATCTAACCAAGGAGGCACAGGTCACATTCTGGGCCTTGACTGGGTCCTTGCAGCTGCTGTCAGGTACTAGCCAGCTGACCTACTGAGCCCCTTGCCCCTTGCACTGTGGAAGGATAAGAGCAAGTAGAGCCCAGTAATATTTTAACTAAGAGATTAACTTTCTGCCAGTTCAACAACAATGGATCTTCTGTTTCTGTGGATGAACGGTGCTGACTTGAGGCTCTTCCACATGCCAGCCCAAGCTCTCCTGCCTCTGGTTGCTCTGTCCTCAGAGGAGAACTCACATTCAACCCTCAGACAGGAAAAGAAACCTCAACACCAGAGACAACAGCCCAGAAAGGTGTGACACAGTGTGGCACAGTGTGAGTGGCACTTAGTTCCTAAAGGAGGGCCAGAGGAAGAACTACCCATCTGCCTTCTAGATGCTCAAGACTCACCCATTTCCTTACGAAGTCCCAGTGCACCTCAAGCCCATACATGATGGTTGAAAGACATGTAGAGAGACTTCTGAACAGTCCTGGCACTCAGATGCATTCCCTTCCCACTCTGAAATTTTGAGACCCTTTATCTCTCACACCTTGCAATTTGTGGACGTTTTGCCATTGCTCTCAACAGGTACAGTACCAGCCCTTGAAAGACAGGTCCCAAGCCCACAGAAATCAAGATGGATCTTTCTGCAAACTTCGTCATGGCAATGGAAACAAGTTTTGCACGTGACAAGGCAAAAAGCAACACCAGATGCACTGAAATGACCTATTGCAAAGATTATATTCCAAAGATGAAAATACCAAGTGTTTTATTTTAAAACAGAAGTTAAGATTCATGCAGGGAAAGCTGACCTCCCCTTCAGTAGTGTGAAGCTGGGTGCAGCAGCCCAAGCCCCAGCCAGCCAGACCAGCCAGTCTCAGAAAGTGGAACTGACTAATCTGAGTCGTCTGCAATGAGCTGGGCATGAGTGAAATCATGCCCTGTGTAAACAGTGTGAAAAGCAAAGGAAGATGATAAGGAGCTGGGGTTTTTTTATTATTGTTGTTGTTCTTGATTCTGTGTGGGAGAGAGTAACAACATAGGTGAAGATTTTAAATAGCAAAGCAAAAGCAAACAGCAGTGGAAATATGTGGCCCTGGATGTTCAGCTGTGATGAGACACTGAAGGCTCTGTTTCCCAGTGCTTGTAGTGAACCACTTTTAGGAGGTTTAGTTTCCAGTAAGTGCTCAGCACTTAAAAACAACTACCCTCACAAAGAACTGGGGCCATGATCTTTATCTCCTGACCATATGCTTTGAGAGCCATTTCCACTTGAGAGGCAAACATTTTCTTTCCATCTCCTCACAGAACACTCTTTCCTCCCTCAGACATTTGCACCAGGATTGTATGGGCAGAAATTAACCCAGGTCCCGAAAGAGAAGGTGGGGAGACCCTGCCCAGCACGCAGATTGCATGGAGATCCTTGCAGTGTGGTGGAATCAACCAACACCCTGGTACAGGGTGTGTGCCTGTGATGTGGTGGAGGAGCACACGGTCGCTGATTTTCAGCTGCCTACCTCTGTTCTGTGCGTGGCCTTGCGTTAGTTTCAGGCCTAATAACATCATGATATCATAATGATATATCACGCTCTGATGACAACACCACATGGAGTAAGCCACAGCAATCTGATCTCATTCTGCAGACGTGGAGATGAGTGTTACTGCTTCACAGGACAAGTGGGTGGCAGGTAGATGGAGCTGGCACTACCTATATTGTCAGGCCTGGGTGGGAACGTGACCTGCTGGGTTAAATTAGGTGGCTGGGAGCTTAACGCCTCAGCTCTAAATCAGCCTCAGCGCTTGCGGGTGAGTCACCAGACCTATCTGCATTCACTTCTTCCATCTGTGAAATGGTGACAATAATATTTCCCCACCTGATGGGGGAGGGAAGGGAGCGTGTGTACAAGAATGAATAAATGTTTACAAAGCACCTTGTGAGCAGTGCACAGGCTCTGGATGTGCTTAGGAGGAACCTGCGTTTTTCCCTCTGCTCTGGGTTGCACCATACTGTGAGGTGTAAACACTCCCCTCAGAGTCAACAGTTTCAAATGAGAGCAAATGAGATAATTCCTCAGGAGAGAAACAGAGAGAGAAGACTTCATGAGTTACCAGCAATTTCAATAAATTCCATTCAAGGAAAAGCAAAGTAACCTTTTAAGAGATAATAATAAAGCAGAAAAACAAATGAGCTGTGACCAGTATTTCTTTTGTGATGGTACCATGACCTTAGGTTTCACTTCCCAAATGGGAACCAGAACAGAGAAGTGAATCCCCTTGAAATAAAAGTGAAGTTAATAACGGGACGCCTTTAGCTCTTACCACATCCTGTGTTTGCTGATCACTCTGCTTGTAGCTGGCAAGAGCACTTCTAGATTTTTCTTTACCATGTTAATTCTTTGCTGAGTCAAACCATGTTGTATAAACAGTTGGGAAAAAGCCTCCCTGCATCTCCCCTCCAGCACTGCAGTGCCACGCGCCCTGTCCTGCTCCCTTCCCATGCACATGGGTGCCTGTGCACACAGCACTGCTCCTCTGCCCTGCTGTCAGCACAGACCCACACTTCCCACAGCTGGTAAAACCACTCAGCGAGCTCTCACAGTGAATGAGCACTCACACAGCCCTGCCCACCCTTCCTCCCTGTTGTAGCACACGCTGTTTCTACCACAGTTTCGAGCGCTCACATGCAGATGTGTGATGGCCATTTGGTGTCCTGCTACATGTTCACTAGCACTTGTTCTTATGCACATACTCAATTCCTTAAGCCAGAAAAAACATACACAAATATGCACACTCTTCTTAGTCTTATATGTGCACAGAATCACTTATTGTTTACTTTGTCTGGTACAAAAGAGAGGATCTGCAGAGGGATCTGGACAGGCTGGATCATTGGCTGAGGCCAGTGGTATGAGGTTCATTAAGGTAAAGTGCTGGGTCCTGCACTTGTGTCACAACAACCCCATGGAGCTGGGGGAAGAGTGGCTGGAAAGCTGCTCAGCAGAACAGGAGTAGGGGGTGCTGGTGAACAGATGGCAGAACATGAGCCAGCTGTGCCCAGGTGGCCAAGAAGGCAAATGGTACCCTGGCCTGTATCAGGAACAGTGTGGCCAGCAGGACCAGGGCAGTGATTGTCCCCCTGTACTTGGCACTGATGAGGCCACACCTCAAACCTGTGCTCTGTTCTGAGCCCATCAGTACAAGAAAGACACTGAGGGGCTGGAGCAGGTCCAGAGAGGGGCAGTGGAGCTGGTGAAGGGTCTGGAGAGTAAGTACTATGAGGAGCAGCTGAGGGAGCTGGGGGTGTTTAGCCTGGAGGAAAGGAAGCTCAAGGGAGACCTTATCATTCTATAACCACCTGGAAGGAGGCTGTAGCCAGGTGGGGGCTGGCCTCTTCTCCCAGGCAACAAGTGACAGGACAAGAGGAAATGGACTCAAGCTGCACCACAGGAGGTTCAAGTTGGACATCAGGAAGAATTTCTTCACTGAAAGGGTTGTCAAGCATTGGAATGAACTGCCCAGGGAGGTTGTGGAGTCACCATCCTTAGAAGCATTCAAGAAATTACTGGATCTGGAACCTAGTGCTGTGGCTTAGTTGTTCATGGTAGTGGTTGGTCAAAGGTTGGACTCAATAATCTCGGAGATCTTTTCCAACCTTAATGATTCTACGATTCTGTGAAATGTATGCACTTTACAAATGCAAACTGGTCATACACATACACAACTCGGCTATGAGACAGAGATCCAGGCCTCTCCACAGCATCATCATTGCAACAACCTTCTTCCTGGGATGAGTTTTGTAGTGAGGGTTTGACTGCTTCAGGAGATGTGGATTAGTTAGCATATTAATTCACCAGCTATTTTACTGGTCTGATTTAGGCTGAACACTTACCTTTTGGTGCATTACTGGCTTTTGCTGCTACTGCTTTTCATTCTGCTTATAGTGTTGGAGGTGACTGTAGGATCCTCCATTCATCAGCAGACTTCTTAACGAATAGTTTCACTAAAAAAGCCTTTACCATCCACCACCCCCACACCTGTTCCTCAATGGGTCTTCAGCATTTTAGTGACACTTTGAAATTCTAGTTTGCATTTTGGAGCAGCTCCATTTGCAACAGACACAGTCACATCCACCACATCTTGAACCTGTAGGATTTTTATCCGTTGACAATATCAGAGGTAACAGACTGGTCATCTTTGAGCTGCACATCTCAAACACATGTGAACTTGGGAGGAGGGGCACAAGTTTGCCCAGCATCCTGGCATTATACTGGTGGGCCAACCAGCTGCTGACTTCTGTAACAATTAGTGGACATGATTTCTCAGATCAGTGTACACAGACTGAAAGGCACTGAACTTTAGAGTCAGAAGACTTCTTAAAAATTATTTTAATATGTCTACCAATGCTCACTCTGTAGGCTTGGAGATAGCAAGTGTCCATCCACAGATAAACAAAGCAGCACTGGCTGAACTCTCATTTCACACAGGACAACAGGCAACCATTGGATGGGAAGAGTTTCCTGCTGCTATGCGTTACTGTTGGACCTATTATCCAGTTGGACCAGCCACATGCAGGAGACCTAAAGAGAAAAAGTGATCTGTTTTTCTCCTTGACCATCTGAGATGCTCCTAAGTTTCTGATTAAGCTCTTGGTACTCGCCAAGTAACATCTACCCCTGCAGAGCTGTGGTCTGGTATCTTGGCATTTCCCAAGTGACACTAGAGGGGCCACATCCTTGCCCTTCCGAGAACTAATCCCAAATGCTTGACATACAGGTTCCAAAATACTGTCAGTCACCTAAGGAACATAACTAAGAAAAAGTAAAACCAGTAATGTTGAATTCTGTATGTTTGCTTTTGAATCTAATCTTTGACTCACACTTCAGACTGTTCATGTTTTCCTCTGTGCTAGCTGACATGAACAGCATGCTTTTCTTAGCTGAAAAAATAAATTCTCTTACGACCACATGATGTATGGAACAGAGACTTAGAGAAAAAAAAAAAGAGTAGGAAAGTAGGAGGATTAGCCTTCCTCTTTTTTCAGCCTCAGTAGCCAGCAATCAATGTCTCATGTGTCTGCAACACCTTTTATTCCCTTACAGAAAGCAAAGGATTGGTAAGGAGATAAGGAGGTAAGGAGGAAGCATCCTGCTGTGGATCTTCAAGGCTGCCTGGGCTTCACAACACTGAGGAAACTGTGCTGTGGAGCAGAGCATCATGTCATCCCCTCAGTGTTCACTACCTTGCACTTCATGATAGCCCAGACACCAGGCCCAATGTCTCTGCTCTTGTCAGGGGCATGATTAGCTCCTCTTTGATGACAGTAAGTCCAGGCTTTGCTTTTGTTTCTCAGCCAAATGCCTACCTCTCTATGGATCCATGGCCCCAGCACAGCACAGAGACCCTGTTTGAAATAGTGACAAATATCATCCAGGAAATGATTTACCCTCCTTGGTTATCCACAGAGCATGTGGCAAAGCTCCCACCTTTCTGATGCAGCCACCTGTAGAATGTGTGGCATTTCTCTCTCTCTGGTTTCTCCACAAAGGTTTCTGTATGCAGGAAAAGTTGGAAATGCAGAAGGCATCTGTCCCCTCCCAGCCCAGCTGCCTTGCCACACACTGGGGACATATGCCTTTGTTCTGTGTCACTTCTCTGGTCCCCCGAACTTGTTTCAGAATCAGCATGGTTCTTTAGTAACTTCATAAAAATAAACAAGGGCCTGATAGCATTCAGGTCACACCAGTAAATTATTTACACACAGACCCCACCTTCCATTTCTTATTGCAAGGGTCTTGGTGTCACCACGCCCTGCCAGGGGCCACATTTTTCCCCGCAGTGTAGTCCCCCTTCTCTGACAGCAGGGCACTGATGTGAGCAGGCTTTCAGTGCACAGGCAGGGCTTCACCAGGTGCTGCCCAGGGCTGGAGGTTGCCCACAAGGCAATTGCATCCAGCCTCTGCAAAAGTGGGCGTCGGCAACCTATCCTGAGCAGTACACTGCTCCGGGTGGCCTGGCACGCAGAGGCGGCTGAGTTCAGGCCAGGTACAAGCTTATCAGCAGATCACATCCAGCCGGGAACAGTACTGAGAGGCAGCCCAGTGGCAAAGCACAACTTCCTTGCAACTAATTTTAAAATCACCTTTACATCTCTCTTTTCAACTTGCAGAGCACAAATAAACTGAAAGCATCAGCCAGTTGTTGCTGAAGGGAGCTATTGTTTTGTAGCCTTCCTCATCCCTGTTGCAAATGAAATAATATACTCCTCAACCTCCCTTCACAGAAAAAGTCCCCCATCCAGCTCTGTGTTTGATCCTGTTTCTCTTCTTCCATGCTGCCTTCGGTGGACTTTTGATCTTGACTCAGCATGGTCCATCTTACAATGTTTCATTAGGTCCTGCTTCACAGTAGGCAAGTGGGCATGGACTGTGATGGGTACCCAGGTTATATGATGACTTGTTTTTCATGCTGACCCAAGGTGCAGGTCTCTTATGTGTGATGTTTGAATAGTCATTGCCCCTGTCTGCTGCTGACCCCCACAACACAACTTCTAATTCAGAGTAAGAGGCTTGCCCAGTTTTTTCTAAAACAGCTTGCTTTGGCATTTGTGTGCGATGAACTTTCTCCGTCATGGTGGTTTGGTTTCCAAGTTTAGTTAGAATTTTCTGGAGTCCCTCCCAGTCCTGCCAAGACTTGCTTTCATTTATAATGCATGGTTCTCTGTTGGCAGCAAATGCTTTTGCCTTTTTATCCTTCTTCCCCCTTCACTGATTTTTGTAATAGTATTCAGAGGGCTGCTTTCATCTCTGCCAGGCATGGTCCCACCACCCCCTTCCACCCAGTAAACTTTTCTTCCCCAACTGGAATGCTGGCCTTTTACTTTTAATGGATTTTCCCCCCACTCTGTCAGTTCTGACTCAATTTTTAATCCATGATGGGACTTTTAATACCATGGCTGCCAAGTTTGTTTCATTCTTGGAAAGGGCTGTATCAAAAGACCTTTTGAAAGCATAAATTACTATGGTCCCTACTTGTTCCTGATGAACTTGAGAAGCTCACAGAGGTCTGACTAGTGGGTTTAGTGCTCTATCCGTGCCCCTTCTGCCCGTGCCAGTGCGACGGGCACGGTCCCCATTTTTCTGGAAGCCTCATATTATGCCCTGTCTGGCCTTCCTTTAAAAGGCAGCTGCTCCCTGGGTCAGGGCAGGAGGGAGGAAGGAGGCTGGGGATCTGCCCTTTGTACTGTGGGGAGCAGCAGCAGAGCCAGAGATGGACATGAGGGGTGCTGACTTTGAGGCTGTGCCACAATGCCTTGTGTTCTCCTGGGTAAACTCCTTGAGCCCAAGTGTCACACAGAGCAATGCCCTGTCACTGGTACTGGCAGCTGTGCCGGGTGTTGAGGATGCTACTCTGGGCACCATCATCCATCTCTGTGTATTGTGTAGGGTCCATACAGGGTAGAGGCCAGCAGGAAACACCTCAGACTGCTGTAGGACTGCCCAGGTTTCCCTGGAGAAAGCAGAGTACTGTAGCTGAAATGCCAATCCACCACACCGCAGGGAATGGCAAAGCCATTCAAAAGCCACCGGAGCAGCAGCCCTGGTCCTCCCTCACCTTCGGAGCCCAGCTCTTGTCCTTTAACACTGAGTGCTGGTAGTACCTGCTTGCCATACTGGGTGGCAGGCATCCCAGGATGAGAACAAGACAGTTCAGCTCTCCTGTGGCCAAATGTGCCAGTTAAGCTGAGGCGTCCTTGTCCAGGGAGCTGGTGGGCACTGCCAGCCCATCCCATCCTCTGCCTTTTGCTGCTTTCCCCTGCAGTGACACTGAGATGATGTGTGTCAAGAGACTTATGCAGAAGTGGGCTATGGACCAGGAGGTTCAGAAGTGGAGGGGCCAGCCTGCCCCCAGGATCGAGGGGTGGGTGCAATAGCCTGAGGTAAGAGCCATGTCCAGCATATCTGGGTCTTGCTCTAGCATTAGTTTAGTTTCCCAGTTTACTTGTGAAGTGCTTCAAAGGGTGCAGAAACAGTCTGCAAAGGGCAGCAGCAGCATGAGCAACTGCTGAAGCCTGAGAGAAGGCCCCTGCTGCCGGGGCAGACTGCAGTGGGAATTTTATCACTGACTCCTGGATGAGCAGAACTAAGTGAACACACATAGCTTTCCCAATCTGAGTTCAAATGTATGAATTTACCATATCTAACGCCTCCCTGAAATCCAAACAGACTCAATTACATTCTCTTTCTGTAATGAATCAGTAATTATATTGAAGAACACTATTATTTGTTTGGCATGACCTATATAAACCCGACTTGGGGAGTGCATAGTTGGTGTGGTGCCAGTGCCCTGCGTATTATTGCCTTATAAACACAACCATTGTTTGAATTTCAGATCAAAACAAACCGAGCCACGTCGCTTGTCAGTTATTAGATATCTTTTTCCCAAATGCTCACCCAGGCCGTATTACAATAACAATAATTATTATTACATACTTCCTTATTGTATGTTTGTGCCGAGGTAGCACATTTGCCTTTTTCCCACACATTAGTTGCTTCTCCTGACTCTTATGATTCACTCCTGCCTATTTCCCAATGTCCGTGAGGTCTTTCTGCATTACCAGTTGCATTTTGGCAAGACCTGCAGATTGGCACAGGGATTCACGGTGCTATATTGCACCAGCCTGCAAAGGTTGCAAACCAGCACAGGGGCTTTGCTCCTCGAGGGAATATACAAACCGAAGAAAGATGTGGACCCTGCCCCCAGGTGCTTTATAAATATTTAACTTGGTCTGATAATGTGATATGGGCTGATAATGTGATTTGGACAGACTAAAACCCAGCCCTGCCTGGGCAGGGTTGGAAATGGACCTTTTATGGGAAACAGGGTGGGAGGGGGGCAAGCCAGAGCAGCCAAGTGATGATGCTTTCCACAGCCACTGCCACAGCTGGGAGTAGACTCACCCTTCCCAACTTGGGACACCCAAAATGTAGCAGTCAAATCCTCAGCAAGCTGCCGATCTGCCTTTACAATCACAGAGGAGAAGCGGGTGCTTGGCTGTCAGGTGAGTCAGCCCTTCTCAAGATAAACTTCAAGATATGTGAAATGAATCATACACTAGAGGTGCCTATTTGTCTCCATTGACTATGCAGGAAGCCTGTCCAGCTAATTAGGCTTAGACACCTAACTTTTAGGCACTTAAAAACAGATGAGAGGAATCCCATCGTCATTGACATTCTTCATTACTGGCCTGACAAAGGAGGCAGTGGGAGAGGCTCCGTGGAACTTCCCTACCAGATTTGGACCTAACCAAACTCCTCTATCCTCTGTGCACAGGAATCTGCAAAGCCTCACCTCTGTGTCCTCCCCCTTGGAGCTCCTTCGGGCATAGGGTTCTCCAGCCATGCCCAGCTGGCAGAGATGAAAGCATGTTCCCTGCTGAGGTCTGAATGAGGCAACGGTCTTGTGGGAAAAGATATAATAATGGAGCTGAAGCCTGTATTATAATGTATTCAGAGCAGGCAGGAGGAACAAAAAAAAAAAAAAAAAAGGAGATTTGACCTTGGCTTCCTGCCTGGTGCTAAAAGTGTGTTTTGATGGAACGGGATAGGCGGGAAAGCAAGCTGCCTCCCTAATGCAAATACCTCATGGAGCTGTAAGACGTGTGGAGTGCAACCCATGTGTTTGGAAATAAGGTTATGACGAGCTCCACCGTGAAAGGACAAAATGGTATTTTTCAGGGGGTTACAGCTGAGCCTGTTGGAGGTAAGTGGCCACCAGCACAGCAAGCAGCACCTTCTGACACCAGCACTGCATGTCACATAAATGTCATGATCCGACTCTGGAGTTGTCTTAGACTTTCTCAAAAAAGAAAATAAAAAGATGAAAGCATTTCATCCCAGCACTTTTTTTTTTTTTTTTTTTTTTTTTTTTTTTTTTTTTTTTCCCCAGAAAAAAATCATGGAAACATTACACTGGTTAATGTCTGCTGAATAATCAGCAGACAGGGCTGCTGTGGCTGGAAAGAGGCAGAGGCCAACAGAAACCACTCTGCTGCGTTATCATCTTGCTGTGTATCAGCTCAGGATCATGGATGCAGGATTTGAAAAAACTGATTTTGTCCCAGTTTTTGAGATCTATGCCTTTCCGTGTCCATAAGCACTTGTTACATGCATTAACCATCTTACTGATACAAGGGCAATTGCTGTTTTGATGTACAGCAGGTGTCACTTGCTTCCTTTTTTCTGGAATCTGCCAACAGCCTCTTTAAAGCTTCTTGCACTTCCCTTAACCTGAACAACAATTTATTGAGGTGAGATATATTTGATTTCCCTCTGTCCTGGCAGACACAGAGCCCTGTGCAGATTAGGCCAGGTTAAGGACACCTATTTGAAGCTGTGCCCTAGCTGCACACAATAATCTGCTCCTGAGGTTGGGCCCTGCAGGGATGCTGGGGACCCCAGGACCACCATGTGCCCAGCTGAGACCAGGAAGAAAGAGGATGCTGGCACCTGGCTGCGCAGGCTATCCTACAGATGTGGACTCTCCACAGAGAGGGGATGGGGTGCTGCTCCGGGGACCTGCAGCAGGATGGAACACCAGTCCCCTCAACAGGAGCTTCGTGGCTCTGCTCCACCACTGATGAGAAATACATCTTGCTCCATACCTTGCCTTGCTGCAGCCAGGCTGGGCACTTCCTCAGCTCCCATTTCCACACTAGCAGGATGGAAATCCCTTCTCTAGCTTCATGCACTTGCGGCGTGTTCAGGGAGGAGATCAGATGAGTCTTGCGCCTTGCCCTAGAGGGTTTGTAACTTCACTGAGAACAGGCACACCCCTGAGAAGAGAGAGATTTCTCTGCAGGAGGTGGTGGGTGCCAGCAGTACATGGGCAGCAGGGAAATCTGTGGTGCTGTGTGAGGGGGCTGCTGGGCTTTCCTCCTTGTCCCTGTGTCCAGACAAGATGTGCAGACCCCAGCTGGGGACTGCACTGCCATAGAGCTGACGTAACAGCCCCACACCAAGGTCACAGGCAGGGAGGCAGATGTTCCTTGTCGGGCAGCTTCACTTTCCACAGCCATGCAGCAGCTGGTCCTGGTGATGGTCTTTTCCTCCAGCCCCTCAAACCTATTCCCACACTTGGTGTGTGTCTCAGCCCTGCTCCCACCCACAGCACAGGCTGCATGTGTCTGGATGCAGCTGGACAGACCCCAGGATGTGGCTAGGCCAGCCTCCTGAGTAGTCATGACAAACAGCTAAACACTTGCATGGGCTTGCTGTCCCGCTGTGTGGAAATACATTAATTGCATTAGTATTTCCACTGGAAATTATAACTTAGATCCATTAACTTCAGCCAATTTCCTTACCCTGCATCTGCTTAAAAGGACATCTCTGCTTGTTCCACTGCAGTGTCTTGTCTGTGCCGCCGGTGCTAAATTTGTGGCAGGCTAGTCACATCCATGTGACACTTCAGAAGAGGCCACACATTACCTCCACCTCCTGTCTTCCCCTCACTTCCCCCAGAAGTAGCCCAACATCTGAGCTACTGAAAAACAGAAAGCCCATTTTATGAACAACTAAATCAGATCCCAAACCCCATTACTAATTAGTAAAGCTGTGCTGTAATTTAGATCACCTTGGATGGTCTTTAGATCATTCACGGGTGTAAAGTCAGGAGGATTAAGGGCTTTTAATATTTGTCTGGTATGGCTGCTACCAACTCCAGCAAAAATAATGGAGCTAGCTTCTTGGGTTTCCTGCCACCACAAAGTACACACATGCACACACTCTCTATTTTATGAATGTTTACATACCCGAGCTGCCAGGAATCTCACTCCCGTTGCTTCCCACCACCTTAACACACTTTTCTGTATCTCTGTGAATTTGTTTTCTCACCGAGCAGCTGGTAATATCCCTTTTGCTTGGGAGCAGGCGGAGACCCGACTTCCTCGGGTGCCAGAAAAGCCTGGCAGAGGGCGCACCTACAAGCTGTGGTTTCCATCTCAAGCCATTTACACCTCCCAGTGGCTACCCAGAGATGTTCCATGGAAGAAGCGCAAGGCCAAAATAAAAGGAAGTATTAAAAAGTTACAGACAGGTGGGGAAAGGCCACGCTGACATCCGCCTACTCCCCCTGAAAGGCCACAGAGTCTGAGGAGGCGCCTGGAACAGAGGAAACATCTACACCCGCTTGCAGAGACCAGCAGAAAGGCACTTCCACACCTACACCTCCAGGGTCACAGCCAACAAAAATAGCATCAGACCCAAAAGATGTGTATAGAATAGTGACTGCAGAAAGCCTTGGCTCATTTTACACCCCCAGCAAAAATAAAGTCAGGAGATTTGTCCTTCTTCTGTTCCCAGCCTCTGTACATCGGAGCACCGCTGCAGACAGGACATGTCTGTTTTACCTGAGGATTCCCATGGGAGCAGGGAAGTGAAATGCCTAACTCATCTGAAACTCACTGGGGTAATCGCTGCTTGTGACGAAAGCACTTCCCTTTTCTACCTTGAAACTTTGAGTGGTAGGAGGGAGAATAAACCAAAACACCTCGCCCCCACCTCGTTTTCAACAATTAAGGCTTTTTCATACTCAAGTTCTTGCTCAGTAACTCTGACGCAAGCAGATCTGCAGGCTTCCTACTGCCAAATGGCTCCAGGTGAGGGGAAGTGCAGGTGAATTAAGACAGCAACCTTGTTCTTTTACCACGGGAGCTGCACCATCATCAAATATATTTGTGGCAAAGCTGGCCCTTGGATTCAGTTCGTACTCAGTGCTCACAGTAACCTCTTATTACCCTGGAGGGGAGTTAAACTGGGCAAAGAGTGCAGCCACCCCATGAGACTGTTCTCCAGCCTTTAGCAGAGGCCAGCATGTGGACCCGTGCTCAGCGGCTCGGGGACAAGATAGTGCTGATTTGAACATCCCAGTGCCAAACTGGAAGAGACCAAAGGTCTGTTGTGGCTTTCCTCTTACCTCCAAGAGCAGTCAATATTTTTGGGAGAAAATGCAAATGAGAGAGTGATACTTTTGCTGTGTATTGTCCACCAACATGTTGCAGAGGTCTGCCTTTGCCTTTAGTAAACCTCCAGGGACTTTTCCTCCATAAATTTGTCGAATTGCTTTTTTGACCCAGTTTATACTTTTGACCTCTACAGCATCATGTGCCAACGAGCCCACAGTTTTACACACAAACACGTAATTGGAAAAAGTAATCCTTTAAAAACCTCCTGCCTTTATCATTTCATTCACTGCCCCCTTCTTCTTTCCCACCGTCTGGCCACTCTGGCCTGTTTCAGCTCTCATGCAGGAAAAGAGTTCTTGATTCCTGTGCTAAATGTGTGCACAGGTCTAATGCAGAATCTTATCTCTCTGTATTTTGTGACAACTTTAGCATCTGCTTGCATTTGAACCAGGGAAGGAGAGGGCTCCAAAAGTGGCTCCTGCGCTGAGGACAAGTTTGAGAAGGTCTTGGGAGGTTCTGGACATTGATTCCTGCTTCCAAGGCCCAGCTGTAGTATCCCAACTGGAATGTGCTGGGCCTGGATGGACTGACTCACCCAAGAAGGCTAGTGAGCATGGCATTGCATTCATTCACTTTTTCAGTAATCTTCTTTAATAATTGACTTTCATTTATTCATTTACCTATCTTTGTTCATTTGCATCTATCAAAGTTCTGGCATGGCTCTGGCGGGTGGTGTAAGCCTCCAATTTTTTCATTCCTCTGCTCGGTGTGAATTCATGCCCACACAAATTCCCACTCTGGCCCGGAGGGCTCTGACTTTTAACCACGAGGTGGGGTGAGCAGCTAAATTCCTGAGCTGAGCATGTGCGCAGGCAATGCAAGGCAGACCACCATGGAGTCAGGGTTTGCCAAGCTAAATCACTGGAAAAAAATTCCTTCTCAGCTTCAGCCTTTGCCACTTGATCCGCGGAAATGTGCCGCCTTAAACCCCAAGTTTCCAAAACAAATGCACACGGTGCAAGTGAATAACACACTGAAGCAGCAGGGGCAGAGGGCTGTGCTGGCGGAGGGGCTGCCGGCCCTGGGCTTGCTGCAATCCCACTCCCAGATCAGCCCCATGCCGTGGCTGGACGACAGGAGGAACCGGGCAAAAATCAGGCAGCGAGCGACTCGGTAGTGAAATAGTTATCTCGGCTGGCTTTCTCGGTAACTCTTGGAAAGTCCCCGAAATGACGTTTCTAACTAACAATTAAAATGGGTTTAATTATAGAGAGGCTCAGAGCCCTGGGAACAAGCACCATCTACAGAACGAGTAAACAACTGCAGAAAATAATAGGCTGTTCGCTCCCCTGTCTACTCCTCACTTCTGGCCAAGGCGAGGGGGGAAAGAAAAAAAGAAACTATAAAGAGAAGGAAATTCGAGGAACCTGATTGCTCTCCTTAAGTAAATAATAATGATAATGGTCATAAAAAAAAAAAAAATCTGGAATAGCCCGAGCCTGTGGGCATTTCTCTCGGTTGGTTATTTTGGTTGTTCTTGAAGACCAAAGGAGGGGAAAAAGATCAGCCGCCAGCGCAAAGTCCAGATGCCGCGACTCCAAAGCAAACAGAGGAGGAAGTGGATCATTTGTTTGAAGTTGTCGGTGCGATGGCCGCTCGGGTCAGCGCTCTGCAGCCCAACAAGGCAGGGGTTTCTGTTCTCCCAGCCAAGCCACAAGGAGTGCAGGGTAGGAGGAACAGCCTGCAGTGCCGGGGCAGGGCCCCCCTCGCCCGCCTGCGCGGGGAAGAGGGCCCAGATGCCATTGCTCAGCCTCGGCTGAAACACCCACTGAAGTTACAGCAGGAGAGAGCGCCGGCTCTGCTGGGGCTGAGGGGGATAACTGGGCAGGGACTGAGCGCTGAGGCGCCCTGGTATTCACAAGCCTTCAGCAGTTGGGCTAATTTTAAATTTTATACAGAAACTGCCACCATCGTCCCCCCAACCCCGTCTCTGCCGTAGCGGTATCAGTATGAATCATTGAATCATACTTTGCTTACTAAAACCTGGAACAGATTACTTGCTTAGAGACCTTTTTTTATTATTATTGTTGTTATTATTTTCAGTTTTACAGTGTTGACTCCTGGGGACTGGGGAAAAAAGGCAGGATTTAGCAAACACCCTTTTAAAAGGGCAGACACGCATTTTAACAACTTAAATTACTGGGGATGTGAGCTATTTCCCCTTGCAGAGCCTGCCAGGTTTCAGTAAAAGTTTGAAAGGAGTAAGGCTCCGAGGGAGGGGAGGGGGCCGGCGGGGGCGATCGGCACAAAGCCCTGCAGGGCGCACAGCCCCGGCCGCGATCAGTTTAAATCCAAGCGGGCAGACCCCGCTGGGTTTCCGCGGGAAAAAGTCCG